GGAGAGAATTAAAAAGGAGAGAAAAAAAAATAGCTGGCGGTGTGTTTTTGAAAATGCAAGGCCTGATATGATCGGTGAAAAATCAATACTATTAAAAATGAGGGATGGGTCAACAGAAAGCCCTTCAGTGTCAGATTCAATAAAAGATGGCGCCGGGATAATTAGCCACTGGAAAGCTGGCACAGATCTTCGGTGTGACCTTGCAAAAAATTAACAATCAAAAGATATACTAATTGACCTCTGGGTGACTTATTTTCCTTTATATAATGCATTAAATGTGTGTTAGCCTTGAAAAACTGTCTGCAGATTATAGGGACTAGGGATTGAACCACCAACATTCTGATTAGATGGGCGATGGTAAGTGACAGGAATGGAAGGTACAGTAAAGTGAGGAGAGCTATGCTGTAGTATCAAGAGACCAAAAGAAAATCTCTGAAGCATTGAACATGGTGTGCCGCTAATTGCAAACATTTCTGTCACTAACTTTCGCTGCCAATTTACTCTGACATCTTTAAAGAGTAATAAAAATAAGACTGGGAGACATATTTGAATCGACTTCAACACTCTGGAGAACGATGAAGAAGACTTTGACAGTTTGCAGTGTTTTATTGACGAGTGTTTCAAGCGCATTGTTATGGGGAAACTAAACAGTGCAGACTCCCTCCAACAAACACGCTCCATCTACAAAAAGAAGTGGCCCAGAAGATTCACCAGAGCCAGCTTCACCACAGACCAGTGGCACGGTGAACATTTTGCAGATGACAGACAAAATTATTTTTTTTAATTTATGGTCTTTTAAACAGGGGTGGCCCAGTACAGGAAAAATGTCAATTTTTTTGAGGCCAATATGGTCACAATGGTTTCCTGAAAGGATTAGTAGTACAATGCGTGATATTAGCCAGGGAAGTATCATTAAGTATTGTTTGACTTGATTTAATAACAAATTTTTGCAGGAATCGATAATCTGGGTAAGGGTTGTTCAGCTGAAGTTTTGTGTACTAGTAACCCCACCCTTACTGCTGGACTTTGTCTATCCACCAGAAGAGAAAACAACCCAATAACTAACCACACACACACGATAGATCTTTAACAGCCAACTCATCATTTATATAGCCACTCAAGCCATATAGGCATGCTCCCTGTATAGCCTTGTCTTCCAGTCAGCCTCCTTGGATAAAATCCAAAAATCCATTTAAAAAAAAAAGAGACACTTCTTCTCTGCCATAAGTTGAACAGTCTGTTAGCCGCTGCGTCAGTAATAGTCACTCTTGAACTTGTTTATGAATTCAGAACAAGTCAGATCCTTTCCACCACTTGGCACAGCCTGTGCTCATCCAAGTGCTCTCATCCTAAGAGGAACAACCAGGTAAGCTAATTTAGCATCATCCATCCATCTATGCATTTCCAAAGACAGTCGACATTTCTCTAGGTCCTCAGAGTAGACTTCTAGAGCTGGAAGGGATTGTTCGCATGGGATCTCTGGTGGGGTGGCCCAGTACAAGTATTTGCACTGGGCCACCCCACGAGGAGGAGGAGCAGCCTGGTGCTGAAGCTTGAGATTGTGAACACAGACTGTAACATACCTCCCATATAAGCCATCTCCTGCAGGTTTACTTTCTGCTGTTTGGAGAGGTGCTGGGGAACTTTGTGTTTTCTGAGGAGCACTCACTGGCTGATGAGTGTCTTCTTAATGGAATTTATGTTTGTAGAGTCCATGTTTATAGACAGATGTTTCAGGCAAAAACTGAACTAGACGCAAACACAGAACACCAGGAATAATGTCTTTTTTTGAATAAACAAAGTTCATTTTTGGAAAAAAATACTTCTAGGGTGTGTTTCTCCACAGTTTGCTTTTCCTACAGATTTTTCTCCGCAGGTTTCCTTTTCCAGCATGGATTTCTCTTCACAGGTTGGCCATGGCAAGAGGCATTTGCAGAGAGGAAAAACAGATTTTCTCACAGAAACACCCACAGAGCAGGAAGAGCTCAACTTTACTACCACAGTGGCAGCAACAATTTGACTGAGAAAAATCTTCTGCCTTAAGTAGTGGGTGAGTAATCATCAGATTGAATGCAGGTGAATGATTACCCAACTGCTTTCAGGTGTGCAAGCAGGAAAAGCACAGGAGCAAGGAAAAGGCTCCGCCTCTGAAACACACACAAGCAGAATTATGTGCTCACATGCCCACAGACTGAGGAGAGAAAGTGAGAGCAAGGAGAGGAGAGATAAATATATATAAAGGCAGGTCAACACAAGAGGACAAGGGAACAATGACAGCTATAGCATCAACAACAGGGTGATAGGATGAAAGACTCGGACATACAGAGGTAAAAGAAAAGGGTGACATAGTCAAACACCAGGAGGTAAAGGGACTACCTTAAAAACAGATTGATGACATTATATGAATTAAGTGCCACATTATATTCTTGCTCAACAGGATTATTTTGAAATTTCGGTACCACTTTACAATAAGTCTCCCCTTATAGATGCTAATAAATAGTTTATAGCTATATTATTAATTAATCTGTAAATGCTTTATAAACCATTATTAATGGTTTATTATGCATTAGTTAAGGGTGAGAAAAAGAAAAAAAACTGACCGGTTTCTTGCCAAATAGTGAGCCAAATGTGTTCACCTATATATTTCATCTAGAGTTGCTATATTAAACATTTCAGACTAAGTTACTATCCTGTAAGCACAATTAGCATTTGTAAACATATTTTTTATCATATAAAATTGTACTTCATAAATGCATTATAAATATCCACAACTATCAATCGGAGCTTTGTTGTAAAGTGTAAAGCATAAAACCATTTATTAATGAATAATAAATATTTATAAATGCCACATGGGAGACTTATTGTAAAGTGTAAAGCATAAAACCATTTATTAATGACAAATAAACATTTATAAATGCCACATGGGAGCCTTATTGTAAAGTGTAAAGCATAACACCATTTATTAATCACTAATAAACATTTAATTGCCAAAAGTGAGTCTTAAATGTATAATGTCACCATTTATAACACTTAGACCTAAATTACAATCAGTGCTTGAAATAACATTTAACTACTGTCAAAAATGTATTGTAAGAGTAACACCTGTAACATTAAATGTGTTTTTTAAAACACCAAACAGTCACCCACTCCAAAAAAAGTTCATGCCAGACTGGTTCAAACTGGAAATATTTTTTGTATGTCCTTAAATAAGCGTCCCAGTGGTCCATCAGGGTGTCGCGAACCAAGCCAAGATGACCACTCAAGAACCATCAGGTGTTCCTCCAGCAACTTCTCAGTGCGATTTCCTTAGTCTACGGACATGTCCTTTGATGGTCATCCAAGCCCTTTCGATATGCTGTGTATGACTGCCAGATTGAGGATCTACAAACCACCTGCTGTGATTTACAGTGTAATGTCTGTACCCTATGTTTGTCAAAACATTCTTGTAGGCTCTCCACTCATCACTGATAATGGCACTACCCAACTTAGCATGCTGTCTGATCAGAGGAACAAGGTGGCGCCTTGATCGTTTTTCAACAGGTTTTAACACGAGCCTTCGCCTTTTGTCTTTAATTCCCATCATTCCAAATACCCATTTCTTCCTTTTCCATGCATTTCCAAAGCGTCCACGTGCATACTGAAAACAAAAAGAATAAAATTAAACAGAATATCTACAAAGAAACATTCAAAAAGATGGTTGCTTCTACTAATTTTTTTTACTTATGGTAAAGGTTTCCATGTTTAGAGGACACATTCAGATCTGCATTCATTCTAACAAACCTGTCTGAGAGTTTACCAACCTTTCGCTGATGACGGAGACAGCTTTCATCTATAACCACAAATTCTCTGTCACCACCAAGACGGTGTCCATTGTTTATTCTGTGTCTTTTAATTGCACGTATACAAACATGTCGAATGTGTCTTGCCATGCTACTTAGTGTTCTGGAGCTGCCAGCCACTTCATCATCGATCATATCTACTTGTCTGAGCCTGAGCCCTTGTGAAAATCTGTGATAGAAATTGAGGCAATTATTACTTACTGAGGCCCTAATTTTATTTCACAAGTCTCGTATTGGTGTTCAATTATGAAAGGTGCATTGCTATTAATGTCTACATCTACATATACCTGTAAATGAACTTCATCCAACTGAAAAGAGATGTTTTTGATTTCTCAAAGAGGGAGCTAGTTCTAATTGTTCTGGAAACTTTCCTATGACTTGCTCTTTTGCAGCACCTGAGAACATACAAATGAGTTAAGTAAAGAAATGGACCCTTAAACAAGAGCATTAATTGAAAAGATAATCACAAAATTAAGTATGAAATTAAGTATGAGCATTAACCTAATGAAAAGAGGTTAATGCTCCCTCTTGCATTGATAACCGAAATATTTTGTTATATTTACTACATGCACTACATTATCATGCATTATACATACCACATATATTGGTCTTTCTTCACCACGGAAATCATTTTCATCTTATGGTGACAAACAGGACATCTAAGCTTCTTTTTTAGCAGGTGTTTCTTCTGCAGCCATTTAATGAGCCTTAGTGCCTTATATTTAGTTTGTTTTCCTTCTATTCTGGCGCGCAATCTCATTCCCAGAGACATTCTGGTGGGAAAAGATGAGTAATTTATTTTATTATCACCTCGAAACACCGTAAAATACTCTATGGGAGTCTAGTGCAAATCGGTTCAGAGTTAAAGAACTTCACATGCTATATAAAACAAGCCCTATAATCAAAAATAGTCCCAAGCAAAAAAGAGGATTGTCTCACCTGTTATAATGTATCTCCGACTTTGTTATGTAGATCTAACCCGCTGGATTCATGCTAAAGAAATATGTTCTGCCGCCAAAGGGAGGGAAAACAAATTTAATTTAAACGCAGAGGAGCTTATACAACCATCCAATCACAGTTAACTTTATTAAGGAAAGCACCTCCTCTCAGAGCGCGACAGGCAGTGGAGCGCTCTGGAAGGTCAAGCCAAAGGGGCACGAACAGACACACTGAAGGCGCTCGTTCAAGTTGCTGCACCATGGATGGAGCAGAAGATAAAAATTTGTGTGCGTCTGCGACTTACACAGTTAGCACACGTTCGAAGAGATACAAAAAGCAGAGACTGGATGATCTAGATTGCACTAAGCCAACGACGTCAGCAGTTAGACATGAAGGTGAGTGTAATGCTAGCTAGCTAGCTACCGAGCCATTTGGCTGCTAGCTACAGTGGCTAACTAACATCACATAACATGTGAATAGCTCTATTACTATTGGTTATTCCAAACGATTTATATCACTTAGTTGTACAGTATATTTTTAGTTTTGTTTATGTGCATCATTAAATTTATATTAAACACCCTGGTAAGGCAGTACACATAAGAATTATTTGCCTTGTTTTAGAAATGCCTGAACCACCACAGGTGTGTATAACATAACATACAGCCATACAAAGTGGCTTTTTATAAATTCAAGTTGTAACCGTTTTTAATCAATATTTTATTTGAGTTTCCCAAGTTTAGATTATAAATTATTTTAGTATTGTAATTTAATAATTGTTTGTTCTTTAGATTCTTCTTCTAATCCTGCCCCTACTGCAACTGCCCTTCTTAACAAGGAGCGAGAGAAATTGACTTTTCTTAAGGAGAAACTGGAGTGGCAAAAGAAGAGAATTGAAGAACTGGAAGGAGAGAGAGATTTTCTCCGAAGTCAGCTATCATCCCTTACAAGTATGAAACTAGACTTGTTCCATGAACATTGTTTTTATTTTACAGTCTTCAAATAAACATTAGATAATTTATCAATCCCAGTGAAGTTCCCTTATTGTCATTGTGTTGATTAAAAGATTTTAGTCAGTTAACTTTAAGTGTTGTGCTAGTTCATTCCTAAAGAGATCTGGTTCCAAATTCAGTTCAGCCAGGTCTAACTTGATTGATTCAATTTCATAGTTCATAAGATCATAACTCCAACTTGAACTAGTAATGTAACAGCCTTACAATCAGAATTAATATAGGTTTTACATATATATATATATACATATATATGTGTATATATGTATATATATATGTGTGTATATATATATGTATACACCTTATTCACATGATGATTTTCTATAACAAAATCCTCATTCTCTTTAAGCACATAAGCTTACTAAATCATCAATTGTGTAATTGAAAAACAGGGGACTTGTTTCTAAAACCAGCCATTTTGTTGTTTACATCCTGCAGAGCAACCTAAAGACGAACCATTCAATGATCCATTTTCCTCGAAGGCTTCTGAAAACTCAGATTCATCTTTCGCATCTTCATCTGTATCGTCTGTGTGGTCATCCTCATCTTCATCCCCAAAGAAGCGAAAGCACAAATACAACAAAAAGCATTCAAAAGCCAAGAAACCCAAGAAGGAGCAGAAGAAGCTCCAGCAGCGTGGTGAGCAAAAGATTTTGGAAGAGAAGATTTTACAGAAGAGGATACTATAAATGTGACATAAAAGATAGTATTATGATTTTAATTTGTTCTAAAAATTACTCTGTGTTCACTACGTCATATATACATATCTATCTATCTGTCTGTGTGTGTATATATATATATATATATATATATATATATATATATATATATATACACAGACCAGCACACAGTCTTTTAGCTAATCTCCGATCAGTCTCCTGGAAAATGGGATAATCAGCAATGTGCATGTGTGAAATACTAAAATATGCTTCAGGGTTTTTTTCCCCTCAGTAGAACATCAATAAGCCCACATATGATAAATGCAAAATTATAATTGTCAGGAAGTCACTGCCGACAATATCAAAAATGGGTGTAGCTGCTGTGATGTAACCTATTAGTTTTGGATTCCTCATTTTTAAGCTTCAGTATCAGCAACAAACCTTACCTTTTCAACCTTAAAGATTTTACTCACAGGCCAAATCTGCAATTTCAGCAGTATTAATGAGCTTTTTAATGCTGTAAATGTTTTTGACATGGAGGTCTGTATGAAATAATTCCCTTTTGTAGCCAGCTTCAAATGGAACCAAGGGTAACTGAAGTTTTCAGTACAAAAGGGCAGTAAACTACAAACTGGATACAAATTGGCAACATGAAATCATTTATTTCCTGGGCTCTCTGTCCTGGTCGTTGTATCCTTGGGCAAGACACTTTACCCTACTTGCCTACTGGTGTTGGCCAGAGGGGCCGATGGCGCAATATGGCAGCCTCGCTTCTGTCAGTCTGCCCCAGGGCAGCTGTGGCTACAACTGTAGCTGCCTCCACCAGTGTGTGAATGTGAGAGTGAATGAATAGTGGCATTGTAAAGCGCTTTGGGTGCCTAGAAAAGCGCTATATAAATCCAATCCATTATTATTATTATTATTATTATTATTATATGACAGAACTACTCTGAGAGTAAGGAAAGTGAACACTTTCCCTTTGCTGTGATGCTAATTTGTGTGTTGGGCAAGCACTGCCTCCATGGTTGACCTGACCACACAACACAGAGTTTAATTCCCATGACAGTCTGATGAGATGTAATTATTGATTAGTGGTGCAACGGATGAAAAATCTCACGGTTTGGATCGGATTACGGTTTTAAGTCACGGATTGGATAAATTTTCGGATCAGCAAAAAAGAAAAAAAGACAAAATTTTAACATTTACTTATTAACTTTTCAACTCAAGACTCATTCCACGCAATTATATAAAAACAAATTAAGGTGCAATATAGGTCAGTACAGGGCTTTGTATCTACCACTCCGCTGTGATATAATGAGCGGTCACATAGCTTTCCGTTGACCTGGAGGTCCACCTGTTTGTAGTTGGGCAACAGAAGATGCCTGGGACAGTTCAGCCGTAACTTTAAACTTTTCCTGCTCATACATGCCTGGGTACAATATTGTCACTTAAGTGGACGCGCAAAGGGATATCATAGTGTGGCTCAAGCACGGTCATCATAGTTTAAACCCCTTGTTTTGCACAACGGAATACGGCCTCCCGTCTGCAGCTAAACACTCCAGTAGCTTTTGTAATAGCTTTAGCCCGGTCGGATTGGGCAGCAAAGGGCTGTTTAAATGCCGCAAACTCCTCTGCTCCTCCACTTGGACCACTAGCGCTGGCCATAACTACCGCTTGACAGACTGACCACGCGCACCATACACATACTTTTTTTCCTTCTTTTTTGAATCTTCGGATCACGTGCGTGCTGAACCGTGGAGTGGGATTGGTTCGGATTATGGATCAACCGTGATCAGTTGCACTACATTGATGGTGTCCCACCGCAAAAGAGCTGTGATGCTGGTGCATGTAGACAATAGAAAGCAAATAGCTTCTACAACTAAAAGATGGATATAGTAAGTAGAACGGCAGAATTGCAATGTTTGAACATTTTTTTGATGTGTATTTTTTCTACTTAAATTTAGAACAGCAGTTGAATTAAAATTGAATTTATATGCGTGCTCTTTATTATAATTTGTCATTTAAAGCATTGTAGTTATAATAAGCAATACTTTCACATAATTAGCCATATTGTTAAAAATTCATTGCACTCCACATACAGCATTCAACACAAAAACAAGTCAAAATTATTGCACTGCTACACAGACTCTATACAAGCAGTCTAAAATGGTCTCTCACATATAAATTCAGCGATTTTGAAATGGGAATTTGAGTAGCACACCGCTTTCATGTTGTCCTTTAAAACCCAACATCTGCTGCCATGAGGAACGAAAGAAGTCGAGGTAAGGGAAATATTATTACCCTTTATATCTTTGAGGAGGCAGGAGTCCAATCCAGCCACCTACCCTTGAGATATCGCAGAGACTGGTTGTTTATGGGGCCCTTGAGTGTCACTGCGAAAGTGACAGTGCAAAGGGATCCGCGGGCATGGCAATGAACTGTGTCCTTCTCCAGAGAGAGGGGTAAAGAGAGGCAATTTCTGGAATGATGGGTGCCGGAGATGATGCCCAATATGCTTCAGCTCTTTAGAATTTACAGCCTCTGCAGCACTGTGTAAACAGCTGGGGAGCAAAACGGGGCGCTCTGCAATTTCCTCCCCTGTCCATTTTTTTCCTCTCCTTTTTATAATGCTCAGTCGGCAATGTCCTTGAGAGAACATAATTTTAGATTTCTCTGGAGAAATACTTAGCTATAGTGCCTTGCCTATTGTTTAGATGCCAATATTGCAGTTTTTACTTGCGCATCCATCACCGGTGACAGAGCAGAATTGTTGTGCTAAATGTTTACAGCAGGGCATTGTTGCCCATATAAGCACGCAAGGGTTAAGAATACTGTTGTGTGCAGGTGTTTAATGGATAGTTGTGGATATGACAACAAGAAATTCACTGCTATCTTGATGGAAGGCCATTATTGTGAATCTTTTTTATGATGCCTGTCGGCTCAGAGAGTTCTCTGGAAGATGGAGACTGTTTGCCTTAGTACATCAAATATATAATACATAAGGAGAACTTAATATTAGGCAGCACAATTCACACCTCAGGCTCATTGTCTCAAGGTTTAAATTTATATATAGATATTTTCATTGTCTCCTCTTTGTCTGCATTCACCTTCACACCTGAAGGCTCATTTAGGGTAATCACCCTAAATCATGAGCTGGTTATAATCACCACTTTAGTATGCACTATGGACGGCTCGATTTTCATAATTGCTCACGATTCCTTTAAACTATCTGACTGATCATGACAACAATTCATGAAGAAAAATCTTATTGTCGTAAAAGGAACCCAATGTGCATTACTATGTGCTTGTGTGCCATTTGTTTTTTATTGTGATTTTGCAATGGAATGAAAATAGATTTATAAATGGCTTGATCGCATAACTTCTCCTGGAAAGAGCCTTTGCATTCTCTGACCTGGAAGCATACTGACCTTGGTGTTTAATCTTCTTTTACACTTGTGCAGGAAAAGTTTTGCTTTCTCTAGCGGAACTTTTAGAAAATGTAATAGCTGGTACATATTAGATTTAGTTCTTTCCACTTTTGTGCTCTGTAATTCTGTTAAATGCATAGTCTAGCTTTTTAAAGTTTACCTCCACCACACAGAACCAGACCAGAAGTAGTGAAGTAAAGTGTATTAGGTGGTGGGAGGAAAAAAAACAGCTTAAGATAAGATAAACTCAAACAGACTTATTCCTGGAGTGATTTCAGATAACACTGCAACATTCATCAGTTTTCTTTTACTTACATATTTTTCTCCTTGACACAAATACATTTACAACCAAGCTGCCCCTAAGAGCAAGCAATTGGTTACGGTGGGAAGGAAAGGCTTCCTTTTAATAGGAAGAAACCTCCAGCAGTCATCTGGTGGAGAGATGGAGGGAGACAGGACAAAGACACACTGTGGAAAAGAGCAAGAGATCAAAACAAATTTACAATAAATCCTCTTCCAAAAAGTCCAGCAACTGTTCTTATCAGTTACCAGAAATTTACATGCTGTTGTTCTGAGACGTGTTGCTATGAAATTTAAGATGATCTAATATGTTTCCATTTTCTCACAGTTGGTGTGTTTTTGCTGTTCCATTGTAAACAAAATGTGGGTTTATGACATTTGCAAATCACTACATTCTGTTTATATACATCCTAAAAAAACAAAACAAAAAACTTGATGTACTTTTTGTGAATATTTATTTTCCTCTTCTATTTATAAGTATTCTTGATATTTCTTTGCTCGGGGTTGCAAACATATGCTAAAGGCCAAAAAAATTCACAAAGTCTCGAGTCTCACAGGTCAGCTCCCTGTTGGCAGCTGAAAGTGAGCTTATGCCAAACATCTCGAGGACTGACCTCAAGAAAAATGCATCCCTCACTCTGGCCTGCGTGTCTCACTGGAGACCTGGATGCAGATTTCTGGCGGTAGCTGTAGAGCTCCTCACCTGCTGGTTTTAGCTCTTAGGTCTCAGAGGCCAAACAAGTGAACACATACTTAAAAATCAGACTTGTAGCAATTGAGCAAATTCTAGTTTTGTTCTGAAGAAGCCCAGTTGCTGCTGCAAGTTTGTGGCTGATGGTACACAGCCTGTACCCTACGCAGTGCAGAGAGGCATTATGCAAGGCATTGTGGATCAGGAAGTGGCTCTGTCCACCCACAGGGATGAATCTCAAGAGTGTGTGGATGCGAACAAGTTGTGTGTGTGGAGAGAGAATGAAATATGGTGGTGTATATTAACACTTCCCCCCCCCCCTGTGCTGTAAAGGTTCTTGCACATTTCTGCTTGGTGCACAACAAAGACCCACTCAGTGACCCCTCACCTTCCATGTACTGCACAATAAAATGTTTAAGTAGCATACCAGCACCAGTAAACTCTAGCTGAATTGCCTCATATTTTCTGTGAAGCTCCACATCCTTGAAGATAAAATAACATTTAAGACTGCAGTAAACAGAGAGAACATGAGATTGAAAAATAAATCTGGGTGTTTTGCTGTTATATACATAAGAACCTTAACATATTGTTTACTTTTATTTTGCATTTTG